TTTATTTATTTTTTATTTGTGAACATACTGTACAGAGGGGTTACAATTACATGGGCAGGATAATGCGTACATTTCTTACCAAGCATTGCAGTCTCCTCCTTTGGTTTACCCTTCACATCCCTTCCCAGCCTCCCCCCTCCCCCAAAGTGGTGTAAAATTTTAAAGTGTAAAACATACTAAGAAGTATATTGACTTTCTCATATACTTTTTAGTAGTAGTTGAATGTTTCATGACTGCCTATCCAATAAAGATTGGTGAATTGACATGCCATTGGCAGTACATTTTTTAAAGAATAAATTTCTGTGACTGTATAAGCAAAATATTTCCATAATTAATCCACATGGTCATAGCAGATGGTTAAATGGAAGAAATGTCCTTGAAGTTATTCTTTTAACAGATGTTCTTAACTATTAGCTTCATGTTTTTACTCACCTAAATTTCCAAATAATTGAATAAAAGTTAACATATGCTTTCCTCCCTTTAATGGGCAGAGCCCATCATCAACACAAACTTTAGCACCATAGAAAAATTAACTTCAGTGGTACAATGCTAAAGGGTCTCTGTAGTATCTTCCCAGCCCTGTTCAATGGTTATTTCTCCTTTCTGTCTTTCCCAGAGTCCTGCAGAATGCACTTCTACTCTCAGACAGCAGCCTCCACCTCTTCCTGCAGAGTCACCTGAACTCCGAGGACATCGAAGCATGTGTCTCTGGGCAGACCAAGTACTCAGTAGAAGAAGCAATTCACAAGTTTGCTTTGATGAATAGACGCTTCCCCGAAGAAGACGAAGAAGGGAAAAAAGAAAATGATATAGATTATGATTCAGAAAGGTATTTCCTTGCGTTTTGATTTAATGTATACATATTTATAGAACACACAACGCACATGTGCACACACAGATATATACACACTCTGCTTTTTTGTTGATGTAATACTAAGATAATGAAAAAATTAATTGACTGAGATTTTATTGAGCTGTGACAGCTCATCATAGTAGTCTTCACACACACCTCCGCACTGAATTAATGAATGCAGTAGAAATTCAATTATCTGCATTCTGATTATGTGACTTTCATTTAGTCAGACTTGAATTATTCGCGTTTAAATTATCTAGCTAAAAAAATATCCAACTGCACTCCAAATGGCTAATTAAAAGTCCAAATTTCCTGTCTTTCTTTGTGACTGGAGATAATTAAAGTTCTCCTCTGTTACTCAGGCTTTGAGTGTGTTGTGAAAACCAATTTCCTCTTTTTATTATTTTCCCCCTCTCTTCTTTTCCAGTTCATCCTCTGGGCTTGGACACAGCAGTGATGACAGCAGTTCACAAGGATGTAAAATAAGTACAGCGCCACAGGAATCCTGAAAAATAATTCTAAAGGCATTACCTTAGGAATAGCAAATTGTGTCCAGTCCATAGAGAAGAGAGCTTGCTTGTAATAAATCCTTACCTAAAGCTCACTGTCACGATACTACGTATTTAAATTCTTAAAGACAGTGGGTGGTTCGTTTAGTAATGGTATGTATTTTTATGTTGTCTAATGTTAGCCATGCTTCTGTTTAAAGCAAAAGAAAAAAAATCTGTGAATGCCATACAGTCCTTATTGCCCAGTGTTACTGGTAAAGAAGATCCTGCCTTCAACGCAACTGATTTGTATGTTTGAAAAAAAAAAAAACAACCCAACTTAGTTGATTTTTATTGAATCCTAAAAGAGAAGTAAGATAGCATTTGAAACCCAAATAGAGCAAAGGGGCAATTCTTGTGAATGCAGTGTATGTGACGTTGGCTACCGCAAAGGGGACAGTGTAGAGCAACCTGCCCCTCAGACAGGTGGCTGCTACTCTGTGGCTACCTCCCCTGCACTGGCAAAAAACACTTTGCTTTTGCGTGTTTAACTGAACTATTTAAGAGTATTTAACCTTTCCAGTATTCTATTTCACACTTAGATGGAAAAATGTATCTTAAGATTAGAGCTATATTAAAAATAATGTTTACATCTTAGGAAAAAAAGGCAGAAATAGTGCTAGTAATTTTATTTAGTCTTGCAATATGTAGATTCAGAAGTAGATTTTCATTGTCTAAAACCCACTTAAATATGGTTTTTGACAACCAGTCATGTGTTTTCATTATCATTGGGTAATTAGAATTATAGCTTAATGACTTATTTTTTGACCAAATGTGTATAATTTTTTTAAATTACTCAACAACTTTCATCAACACTAGTAGCTACTTACTTACTACTTGTGTTTTTAAATCACAAGGACCTTAAAAATTAATATGTTTAATTTTAACTAAGAAGTATTCCCCATATTTTGGAAAGGATGTCAACTTGCTACTTTCCGAATTTATTCTGCACTTTTTGGAGCCCCTTCATAGTATGTATCTACCTTGAGATGGCTCTAATTTCAACAAAATGCCTTTTCTTAGTGGTCCAAAGATTAGATGTTTTAGATAAACTACTTTGAACTTCAAATTACAGAAGTTTTGTTTTCCCCACTTGAATGGTACAGAATACTGTGTGAAAAAAACAGGAAGATACTTTCATATAACTTGGCTAACTTGTTGCTTTGATTAAATGTTACCTAGTCTCACTGGCTGCTGCAGCAAAAGAAAAAAAAATCCATTTCATTTTATTTTAACTAGGAGCTGAAAAGTTACTGTATTATTAAAAACTCCAAGATAATAGTTTCAAAGAACTAACTAAAGAGAAAAAAAGGCTAGGAAACTGAAAACTAATAGAAGTAATTAAATGAACAGGAAGATGATTTCTTTTTTTAAAAAAAGGTTTAGTCTAAAACATTATTAAACTTTTATAAATATTTTGATTTAATGTGTCTTAGGCCCTTTTATTTTATCCTCAGAGACTCATTATTTTAATACAGGAAGAAAGCTTTTGCAGTCCTTATTATCCTGTTGACACATAGGGCTGGCCATCTGGGCATTTCCCAGCAGCTCCCACTCCTGAGCAATGTGTTTGAATTCATAGTATTTCTGTTCTACAGCAATTTTGAAAAGCATACACTATGCCACTGTCATGCTATTTTTAGATAGTGTTACATAGCCATCAAAATTAATATGAAATAATGCTCAATATTCACTGTGTAAAACTTCATGAGATCATTTGTTTTCACATTAAACATGAAAAAAATCAGTTGTGTTGGATCACTTATTTTACATAAGAATATTTCTCTTCAGTGTGTTTTTGGCTTTATTGGTAGCTTTTTTTTTTTTAAAGATCTTTGATGTAATATTTGTTTCAGCTGTCCATATTTGCACTGGCTTCATAAAACAGATTTCTTGTAGCTGAGATAGATGAACTTCCGTTCTCAGTAGTATTCTTTCTTTTCTTCTAGCATTTAAAAATGATTTATTTAGGAAAAGAAAACAGCTACTTATGCAACTAAACTAAATAAGACTGAGTTTTTATAATAATGTGAATTAAATTAAATATTTTCAATCCTGAATGTTTTATGATTTACATTCAGGAAAACTGTCCTATTTAATATTGAAAAGATAGATTCTTCACCTCTGAAGTGTGCTTGGATCTTTTGTTCTAAAACTGACTTTATATATAGACAAAGGTGTCAAAATGAAAGTCAACACCTGTTACTTAAGGTTTCTCAGTTGACAGAAAGTAATGTAATGCTAGTTAAAATTTTGTTTTTTAAAAAAAAACCTGCTAGAGAAAACACTAATGTTTTATTGTGAAGTTAGATATTAGGAAGTAAGAACTTTTCAAGCATAGACCACACTTTATTGTCTTAATTAAATATAAGCAATTGGTATGCAACGTAGGAAAGTAAAAGAATAAGATATCTTTTATATGTCAGTGAAGGATTTAAGCAAGTTCATTTAGTTTAGCCACAATTACTTTAGTCCAACAGTGGTGAATTAGATATTGTTTTGAACTCAGTTTATATTTTCTTGGTGCCTTACGCATTAGTTAGCATTACTTAGCATTACTGAGCTCGTGTGGTACAAAGAGGGTTTTCAATGTTTGAGCTGTGGGGAAAAAGCTTGGAAAAAGATCTGTAAAATTCTAAGACAAGAATAAGGAAACCGGGTTCTAGTTTCCCTCTTAATAGTTCAGTTACTTAGTTGGTATACAATTACAGTGTAGCATCTTTCCACTAAGGAAATAATTTATTTCAGTACTATTTTTGTTCTTGTTTTGGAATGTTGACTTTGTCTTAGTTTGTTACATGTAAACACATTTTCAAATACAAAGTGTTGCCTGCAATTACTTACTGCAATTGGACATTTAAAACATAGGACAGTATTTTCTTAGCAAGGTCCTAAGACATGAATGCATTTTCATAGAGTGGAGTTAAAAAAAAAGTTTAGGAAGATGGAAATAATATCTTTAAAAATCTGATATATTTACAAAGGATTTTGGCCCCGTTCTTCGCCAGACGCATCTTACAATTGAGTCACCACTGTCCGTTTAAGTCAGACACAATTGCTGTTCACCCTTGCAGGAACCTTTTCTAGATCCTTGCGATGAACCATGTATTGGACTCTAATGTCTTTTATTGCAGAAGCGCTTGTAGTTAATGACATGTTTTATGGTTCTCCAGAATTCCAAGGATTTCTTTTTCAAAAGACATACAGGAGAAAAGAGAGGAGGGAAAAAAATGAAGCCATCGTTTTCTGCTGAATTCAAACTCTGACCGAAAAGACAGGGCAAATGGTTTATGCTAAAGAGGAAAATACCCTTTCTCCCCCGACGCCAAGTGCGGATTCATCCCAACCCCGCAGCGCTTGTCTTCGCTGCTCCGGGCACGGCGGCCCGGGCTTAATTTGTGGCGGTGTTTTTGCTAGTTCCTTACCTCTGGGCCTTCTTTATAGCCTTGCCCCCACCCCGCCTCAGCCCGCTCCCGCTGCTGCACCCGCGGCCGCCTGTTGGCTGCGGAGCCTCGGCGGCCTGCGCGCACTCCCCGCGCCGCGTCCCGCACACGCGCGCGCCCCCGCCTCCTCCCGCCCGGGCAGCTCCGCTCCGGCGCCGCCGGCGACTGGGTAAGCAGGTAGCGAGCCAGCCGGCCACGGTCCGGTAACCCATGGCAACCGCCTTGGTAACCCATAGCAACTGCGCGGAGGAAAGGGAAAAACACACACAACAACCCACAGTGGCAGGGGGCGGGGGTGGCGAGTGGGAACAGCAACCACAAAAAGACAGCGATTTACCGCGCGGACCTGCGGCTCCCCGACCCCACCTGCTTCCAGCCCGAGTCCCCAAATGACAACCCCGCGGGGCGGGGAGGACGAAAAGGAAACAATGGTTTTGCAGAAAGGCCTCGGTGATGGCTGTGGGGTGGAAGGCGGCTCTCAACCCCGGTGACCCTCTGGGTCCCCGGGTCTCCACGCGCCCGGGACCCTCGGGATCCGTGAGCGCGCGCCGGCGCAGCGGGGACCCGCTGCCCGGAGCCCCCGGCGTCCCCCAGCCTGCGCCGCAGCCGAGTCTTTGTTCTGCAAAATGCAGCCCGAGCCCGGCTGCCGGGCCAGCGAAGCCGGGAGGAGCCGCCTGGGCCTGGGTGCGGCGGAGGGCCCTGCCTGGCGTGCCTGGGGTCCCCCCCCCCAAGCAGTTCCACGCACGTGTCCACTGCATCCATCCTTTACCCTGTCCCGTTTAGTTCGCTCACAACCCTTAAAAGCTTGGCGGCACGCTGCTTCTTGCCCGGAGAAGGGAGGGGACATTTTGCACCCGGTGGCAGGATTGGGCCGCTGGGCGTGCTTCCGGCCCTGGCCAGAAATGGCTCTGGGTGAGGATGGGGTGCATCTGAGTGTGAAGAGGTTCGGGACCTGGATGGGAAAGTCCTCCATCCTAGAGAAGCCCAGCTGGGTTACTTTGTCCCGCAATAAAGAAGTTGCAAGGCCACCGTCGGACAGAGGGGGGCGCTGCGGGGACAGCGCGGTGCCCCAGCCTCCCGCCCGAGGGCGCGCCGCCGCCCAGGGCTAGGCTGGCCGGGCACGGCCGTGCCTGGCATTCCGGCTTGGGAATGAAAGGACCTGCTGCCCACATAGGGCTCATTCTGTGCTCAGAGCCTCATCGGCACGCGCCTGTATTTGCTGAATCCCCAGCCTGCTGGAAGTTCAGGAAACCCAAGCAGAACGGGTTCCATCCTGTACAAGTCACCTACATGCATCCGAGCTACATGGAAAGGCAGTGAGTGGGGTGAAGAGCTATGTGGCTAGGAGTACAGAGCTTACAGCCCGAGGTCAACTCCAATAGAGGTGGTTTCAAGAACCTTCCGATTCTTCTCTCTTCTTTATTTCCTTCCTTCCTTCCTCCCTCCCTCCCTCTCTTTCTCTCTTTCTTCCTCTCTTTCTTTCTTTCTCTCTCTCTCTCTCTTTCTTTCTTTCTACTCGTCCAGCAAGTAGGTTTGGCCTGGGTAATTTTGAGGTTCCCTCGAGCGCTGTTATACCCCCCCCTCCTTTTAAAGGCAAAGAACTACACAAAAGTAATAACCACGCTTGTAAAATATGCTTTCCTTTTCAAATGATGGGTCCACAGTGGTTTATATATCAAACCCTTTTACTGCCAGACAGAAGGCTGGCTATATCGAGTCCTATCTGTATCCTTTCATGAACATAAACATCCTTTCAATGTATTTTTTGCTGCTACAGGTCTTAGGGACATTTGGTTTATTTACACACACACACACACACACATACACACACACTCATGTTCTGATTCCCACTACTTACAAATCACTGACACAGAGAAGTCTACAAATGGTTTGAGGTAAACCACAAGATACCTGCTCACCAGTGCCTCATGCCTGTAAGCCACACAACTCAGGAGGCTGAGATCTGAGGATCATGGTTCAAATTCAGCCTGGGCTGGAAAGTTGGGTGACTCTTTATCTCCAGTTAACCCCCCCCCCCAAAAAAAAAGCTGAAAGTGGAGCTGTGGCTCAAGTGGTAGGGGGCTAGCCTTGAGTAAAAAAGCCTAGTCCCTGAGTTCAAGCCCCAGGACCAGCACAAAACAAACAAACAAAAACCTTACAGTACCTTACTATGTCCTGGGATGCAGTAGGATTCCAGCACTGTGGGAGGTACTAAGAGCCCTGTGCTTTCATTTAATTTTTCTTTTTATTTTTTTAAACAAAAGCAATTACGGAAAAGTGCAAATTTAACGTGTGACATTTAACATTTTGCCATGGCAGGCAGCCTCCACTTAAATGGGGCCTTTCTGCGGAACAACAGAAGCCAAAAGGCCTTGTGTCATGGAGTAATGTAAGACACAATCTAGGCTGCAAACGCACAATGAATCGGGAAGGATTTATGTAATTAATTGACCAGTCTTAACCTGTTATCGTGATGTAAGGAATTTGGAACTCATTAATTTGGGCGCTGACAGATTTCATATTAGAGCTGGCAAATATGGATTGAGCCTCTTATTCTTGTAGCAGCTGGAATTTCCATGACAGTGAGGGTTAGTGAAGAAGACCTATTGCTGGAGTCAAACTGGCTCTTTGTAATCAGTAGCCCCACTCGGCATTAAAGGGATAATGAGAAAAAAAGAGAAAGAGAAAAGGAGAAAGCATATTACTGGGCATAGAAGTGGGAAGGGCTGTGTTCACCCTGCTAGTCTGTTGAGCTTAAACATTTGAAGTTGAATAAAATATTAATTTCAATCATAAAGTTGTGTGTTCTTTCCAAGCACCTGGAGAAAAAAGGTGGAAGAGTCTCAGGGTCAGGCTTGAT